TTTCTCAAGCAGTCCCAGTCTGCCAATATTACACTCCCCAAGTTAAAGGAATTTAACTTTAAAAATGTGAAAAAAGATTAATCTCTAGATATCTGCTCACAGATTTGCCAATTATAAAGAAAAGATCGTTTTAATATTCCTTGTCCATAAACAACAAACAAAGCCACAGTATGATGATTTGGAAAAGAGAGTAAGAAAAAAAAACAATCGTAATCAAAGACCCTAAGAAAATCATCATTAGTCTTTGTAATTTTGGAGGGGGGGTCTTTCATCTGGATTTGTTTTTACAAAGTGTTAATTTTAGTATACATTATGGAATGGGCATCTTCCAATCAGTCCAAGAGAGAAAATAATCACACATCATCTTAAAAAATAATAAATGCTTCAATGGTTACCATCTAATATTGCTTACCAGACAGAGACACTGCTAAAATTTTCCATATAGCAATTATTTAATCTTCAAAATAGCCTGTGTAGTCGCTGCTTTTTTGTTTCCAATGTTACAGACGAGAAAACCAAGGCTAAGAGAAGTTAAACAGCTTGCCCGTGGCTACACAGCAAGGAAACTCAACACCTAGACTAAAATCCAGGCCTGTCTGACCTCAAAGCTTTCTTTCATTCTGCCCAAGACCCTGGAATTCAGATGTCCTTGTGGTCAAAGACTTTACCATTCACGAACATGTTGGCTCCTCAGAATGGCTTTCCATGTTCACCTCCTCAACATCAAGAACCTTTACTGAGGCCTGTCTTTTGCTTGGCCCATACAAGGACGGATCTCTGTCTATTGATTACATGACAGTGTTGATTTATGACCTGCTCATTGCATCTTTGATCTGCTGCATATACGTGTCAACATTTTCCACTTGACACTTCTTAAACTCCTTTATTGAGTCATTTATAAGATTTTGTGCATGGGGCATTCTAATTCATTTCTTTCTTTCTTTTCTCCATGTCTCTCTCTCTCTTACCCTCCCCCGCCCCCGCCACCACCATCTCTGGAGATAACAGTATTCATATCTTACACAGTGGGTATATGTGTCTGGTAAAAATTCTGCTCTTATTCTTTAAGATCCTCAAGCTCTCCCAATACCTGGACCCTATTAATGGCCACTTTTTTTTTTTTTTTTTGTCTCTTGTCAATTCATGCAGTTATAAGTTCTCAGTGAGATTTCAATTTTTTACCTCCTAAAATATTCATCAGAAACTCTCTTGGGGTCCCATTTTCAACCAATACTACTGGCTACCTAGGGGCTATTTATAACATAATTCTAATACTTTAACGAGTATTGCTAACACTTTAACAATCATTACAATTATGGATAACTTGATACAGCTGATTAAAATATAGCTCTTTTTGTATGCTTCAGAATTACAATAGTGTATTTCTTTCTTTTAGCTGTATGTTAACACTATAATATGAACAAGTACTAATAGACTTGCTGGCAAGCATCTGGAAGATATCCACTTGAAAGAACCAAATACTAATTCCCTTATTATAAGAGAATAATACAATCTTGAAAGTTTCTAAAGTGTATTCATGTTGAAAAACATCCAACATACAAGTGTTTTGCTATAAAAATGTCTGTAATTATTAAATGTAATCCATATTATAAGAGACTTGCAAATTATGAATTCCACATGGAAACGTATTTTCTACCCCTCACCATAACCCCCAAACATACAGTTAATTTTGCCCTTGGGGTATCATTCACATTTAATTTATCACTGATCTGTTGGAAGAAAAACTGTTTCTCCTCAGGACATGTCCAAAAATAAAAATGACTAGTGTGCATTACAGAATGTGCTCCTTCTGTCCATGATGGGAGGAAGGGTTTTTTTAAGAGAAGTCACAGAGTCAATTATTGTCTTAAGCCTAGAGAGGACAAAGACCATGAGTTATTGGAAACGTAAAACCTTAAACTGAGAATACACATTTGTCACTTTCAAGTAACAAATTATCTTTCTAACCCTGTTTTGCTCATTTAGGAGAAATAAGTTATCCCACTTTCTCATTAACTCTCTACAAACTTCCCTGGTGGAAGACATTCATAGTCAATAGGCTACAAGTAACAACAAAAGTCATAAGCAGTTATAGCTTATTGTAATTAATAGGAAAAGTAATAGTTATTAATGTTAACAGTAACAAGCCAATAAGCATTAATTAACAAGACTCTCTTTCCCTCTCAGTGAAACTACGTGACTGGTGGAGAGAGGGGTCCTCTTTTTCGTGTTTTTGTTTCCTTTTAAGATGAAATCATCTCCTCATTGACCCCCTCCCCACCCACACTGGGTGGCTCTTAGAGTTATTTATCAACTGCAAACTTTAGACCCTGTGCTCTGATCTGAATCTGTGTCCAGAAGGTAACCAGGCCCAGAGGCAGGAGATAAACAACCAAGTGTCATCAAGTCAAGGCTGGGTTGAAAGGGTTACACAATTTGAATCAGCCTGTAGGCACCTAGCAAGAATCCATCAGAGCCTCTTGGGGTAAGAATTAGACTATGTTTGGAAAGAGACATTATCCCTCAGCTGAACCACATCCACAGCACTCAGAATTAAAGATATAAACTGTGGGTTGGAGATTTGAATTCAACCATTAGAGATGTCTGTATCATCACACAATGATGACTACACGTACTCGTAAAACAGGATTGCATGTTTTAGTAGCTTATGAGTGCCATAGCCAGCAAGGACACTGATCTGACCCCAGAGCAGAAATTCTGAATTTCTTCTACACTTTACTACAGTGAAGTAGAAAGACCACCGGAATAGACCTCAAAGGCTGACGGCCGGTTCCTGGATGGCTGCTAGCTAACGGTGGGACTTCTGGCCTCAGTTTTTGCATCTTTAAACGTTAAGGGTGAATTAGACAACTTCCCCAACCTCTTCGAGTTCTAATGCTTTAGACGAATGCCCACCAGGAACCTTATCAGAGATCAGGAACCTTATCAGAGTCCAAGATATTATAAAAAGTGAAAAGAACAGTGTCCTAGATCCATGATCCCTTACCCAATGGGAAAGGCAGACACATAACACATATTTAAAAATTAATCCCCTTCCCTAGTAGACGTTTTTTTTGTTTTGTTTTGTTTTGTTTTGTTTTGAGACAAAGTCTTGCTCTGTCACCAGGCTGGAGTGCAGTGGCACAATCTCAGCTCACTGCAACCTCTGCCTCCTGGGTTCAAGCGATTCTTCCGCCTCAGCCTTCCGAGTAGCTGGGACTACAGGCATGTGCCACCACACCCGGCTAATTTTTGAATTTTTAGTAGAGACGGGGTTTCATCATGGCAAGAATGGTCTCGATCTCTTGACCTTGTGATCCGCCCTCCTCGGCCTCCCAAAGTGCTGGGATTACAGGCATGAGCCACTGCGCCTGGCCTGACTTTTTTTTCTTTTCTGTTTTTTTGTCTTGTTTTTGTGAGTATCACTCTGTTGCCCATGAGGGAATGCAGTTGTGCGATCCTGGCTCACTGCAGCCTCAACCTCCTGAGCTAAAGTGATCCTCCATCTCAGCCTTCTAACTAGTTGGGTCTACAGCCACACGCTAATTTTTGTATTTTTTGTAGAGATGGGGTTTCACCATGCTGCCCAGACTGGTCTTGAACTCTGGGCTCAAGCAATCCTCTCACGTTGCCCTCCCAAAGTGCTAAGATTACAGGAGTGAGCCACTGTGCCCAGCCCACAGTAGGCTTTTCATGTGCAGTGTTTCACAGGCAAGACTGTAAAAACAGCTGTTGAAGGGAATCATGAATCTTGCCTGTTCTGTGTCCCTAAAGGCAACAAAACATGTTTTATAACAAATGTGGCTTGTTACAGCCTAGCTTGTGATGCACATGACTTGGATTAACTTCTTGAGCTCTCTGAGTGTGATACACAAATAATACTAGTTGTGTCTCTTTTGCAATCTGGAAAACAGTAAAAATCTCTCTTTAGGCAAGACAGCAGACGGAGAAGAGGACAGATGCACTTTCACGAAGCGGTGAGCCAAGTGGTTCAAGATATGCCTTCTCTATGAGAAAAATTTCCATTTATACCTGCACATGCCTTTTGAAGGAAAAGATGTCCTTGGTTATTATCTTTTCCAACTCCTTATCACAGCCTTAAAATGAAAACGCACATCCTTCAGGCGAAGTGACATAGATACTCCTATACACACATATGATTATAAATATGCTAATAACATTTTACATGAACACTGAAGATGAAAGTGCTTTATAGAAGATACTGGAGCTCGTTTATCCTCAGGATATCCATGAAACGGCTAGTGGTAAGGGATAGTTTGCCAGCTTTTTCAAATGACAGAAAACTGCATGGTTTAAGCAGTCCATTTGCTCAGGATTGCCTTGCGAACTTTTTGCAGGGCCTTATGGAAGACAGAAACGCTAACTGTGAGCCCTCGCTGACTTCTCCTGCACTCCCTCATAAAAAAAGATTGTGGTTCTCTGTTGCAAGGATCTAGTGTTTTATTGCCAAACTTTTCTCTTCCACCCTGGATCCTTCCAGCGGCCTCCAGCTCACAGCCATCGGAAGCACTGGAGATGCTGGCGTGGCTGCTTGCACGCAGACTCCTAAGTTTCCCAAGTTCTACCTTCTTGCCTTCTCCCCTGCTCTGAACCATTGAATTTTCTTCAGATTTGCATCTCAGCTTACTTGTATGGTCTTACTCCTCATACACCTCCAACCTACTTCATACTTAACTTGACTTTTTAAAGATAGGCTCTTAAGAAATGTCCCCATGTCCTGCCCCAACTTGCAGACCACTCGGGCCTTCAGAATGTCACTGATCAAGGCCCAGCCTTGCACTCTGTCCAGGGAAGAAGATGGGACACATAGTAAGCCACCAAGTCAGTGACAACACAGCCTGGCTCCCTTAGGAAGGCTATAGTTTCCCTACACCCCTCTACACCCCCCATTAGGATGTCAGGGTCTCCTAGATGTTCTCAGGAAAACCTCGGAGAGCCCCTTCAGTCCTGCTGGAGCGACGCTGTAAGCAGGCAGTTACCATGAGGGCTGTGTAGGTATAGGGGTAGTGGTAGGCCAGGTAGCAGACATCCTCATCGTGTGGGAAGCTGACAGCAAAGGTGAGGGTGTAGTAGCACTTTCCAGATGCTCCGCCTGCAGCAGCTCTACTCTGCCGATAGTGGTTTCTAAAGAGAGAGGGAAAGAGAAGAAAATCAAGGAGAGGTAGGAGTCGGTACGGGCTCACTTAGGGTCCTAGGTGCTGTAAATTTCATGTGCTATGTACTGTACGCACACAACGGCCTTCACTTGAAACATGTCTGTGGGTGAGATTGAGAAAAGGGAAATGTACAAGTGAATTGACTGCCAGGTCATGAGTCAGTTCAGCAACGTGGAGCCTGGCCTGTCTGCCTCTCAATTCTGCCATATATGCTACAGGTCTTTCCTAGCTCTGTCTGAAAATGAGGGCTATACAGTCATTGAGCTAGAAAATCAAGGAAAATGTGAACAGTTATGTTTTTCCAGGGTTTTCGTTGCAGACATAAAACCTCATTACCCAAATTTGGGTTCCCCTAATCCCTGTCTCTCCCCAGACCACATAGGGTACACCTCCTTCCTTTCCCCTCCATCTGCCAAGTAGACTTATGAGCAATCATATGATATATCGAGGTCCAAATCAACGTTTAACATACGTCATCTTATGTTATTTTGCAGCAACCCATCAGCAGGATGATGAAACAAAAGCTTAAAAAAATTAATTTGCCAAAGGGCTTCAGGCTAAATGGTAGATACCAGACTGAGACCCAGATCTCTCTGGCTGTAAAGGCTTTGTTCTTTCTACTGTACAATACTTTCTTCCCAAAGGAATATATTTGTCACCTCAAATGTGGCTCAGCTTCTTAAGGCTTGAGAGTGCACATTTTCCTTTATCAAAGATGAAGAACCAATTTTGATACTTCAGAGAACCGTATCAAAGAAAATTGCACCCAAAAGTCCATTCCGAGCAATATTTTCCCCACACGCTGCCAGCTGATGCTGAGACAGCTGCGCAGGCTTTCCTGAGAAATGTTACCATCAAGGCTGCATTATAATGCAAAATACCCCCGGACACCAAGAGATGTAATTCCACCTTTGAACATTTACAACGCTGCCTTACTAGTCCGTTGTGCTTTTGGTTTTATTGGGGGAAACGGAAGGGGAAGGGAAGAAATAGTAGGTGATTATTCTTGTGTGTTCTTGAGAAATATAAAAAACATGGGTTATCACATGGTAAACATGGGTTTCTGCCTTTTTGCTACTTTCACGCCACTCCCAGCCTAAGCAAAAAGCAACCATGGAAGAAAGAGACAGGAAATCTACTATTTTATTTCTCACGCTTTTGTGGCTTTTCAAAATTTATACAACAAGGACCGGGGCTAAGGGAAGCTGGTAACGCACTGATTATGGCCTGCTGCCTTTATCTTGTCTCGGCTTCTGTCAACACGGCAACCTGGAATCTTGGTCACGCTAGGGGAAGGGGCGCACACCGTAGCAACGTAAGCCCCAAGTGGCCGTCACACCCAGGTTTTTGGCATTGTATTCATAGAATCCGTTTCCTTTGTGCCTACAGAAATAGAAATTTCAAAAGGGTGTCTTCCCACATGGTGTGATGTGAATCTCAACGCCCAATTGGGTCTACTGTGCCAGATTGCCCCAAAGTTCTGAAGTTTCTCCAAAAGCTATGACTCTGGTTATTAGAAAATATGTAAAGAAGCAGATGGTGGCTCAGAAAGCATGCAAGTTACATATGCTCTACCTCATTTTTGCTTTCTGATTTCCCTTGTAAAGGCTCCGTGCAAATATACACTCAGTTTACATCTTGCTGAACAAAAAATGCTAGTCAATTACTCCTCTTTACAGGAAACAGCAATTGAAATAAAATGAGCCAGGAATAACCAATCAAAGCATGGAAGAGTGCCTCACTTGTAAGCATATATGTGTGAGTGCACACACACATATGCACATATTCATCAATGTAAAGGCTGACGGAAACAGGCACCTTGTGCCTCACTGTCCCCAGTTCTTCACCTACAAACAGTGGAGACAGAGCCTGCAGCTTGACTCAAGAATAATAGGTATCCCTGAGGGCCAGTAGGGGTGGTCTTATTCGGCACGGGCCTTCCTTCTTTTCAGGTTCCCCACTGCACTATTTAATACACTGAAGTCACATCACAAGCACATTTAGCCTATGCAAACTCAACCTCATCACATTCAACAACAGGAGAGAGCAAGAAAGAGAGAGAAAAAATAAGATCCATGTATTTATCTCTACGTTCTTACCCTCATTCAGACCACACCTGCACTCCAAGGAAAGAGCAGCTGCAGCGAAATGGAAAGAGAAATAAAATAGGCTAATCCCTAGCCCTTGAGCTTCCATGGGCTCAAGATTTAAGGGACGTGTAAGGAATTCAAATGGTAGTTTTGACTATGTCAAATCTGCCTTCTCATCCCCAACATGCACACACCACACACACACTCTCACTCACACACTCTCTCTCACCTAACATGCTACCCCTGTACATGGTGATGTTAAATTCTCCTGAGCAAGACTAATAGCTCCCTACCAACAAGTCAGCCTTCTCCAGGATGGTTGCACACAGCTGGAATTCCAAAAAAAAAAAAAAAAAAAAAAAAAAACAAAAAAAAAAAAAAAAAAAAAAAAAAAAAAAAAAAAAAAAACCTGAATGTCACCTTATTTAGAATGACTTTCAGCTAAAGGAAATTTAGTTAGAATCCTGGTCTGGGGTCTAAACTCTGGCTGAACCTAAAACAAATGTCAGGCATCCCCACTGGAGTCTCCTGGCAGCCACCTTATAGCAGGACTTGTCCAGGAGATGACTCCACTTCCAGCACACCTTCCTCTGCAGAGGCCTTTAAACTTTCCCAAGATCACCTTCTTCAAAGCCAAATGTTTGACAAATCTCTAAAGTGAAACACCTGGCTTGCCACAATTCAATTCATCCGTGATAAAGTGAGATCCCATCAACAAGTTCTTTTCGTTTCCCAGTTATGATGTGGACATATCAAGCGATGTTTGCAAGACAGCAATGTTCACCCTTCCCATGTTAAACTGTTCCCATGTACTTGCTTTGTATGGAAAGCCCTTTCCATCTTTCTTATTTAGTGAAGTCTTACTCCTTCAAGATTCAACTCAAGTGTTTCCTCCTTCAGGAAGCCTTCCCTGATAGTGGCCTTATCACTCGTCCTCTCATGACCAATACTTTATGGCAGGGACCTGCTTATTCATTTATCCTCATGCTTCCCACATTGCCTGGACATAGCAGCTATGCAGTTAAAATTTATACAATAAGTGGACCTAAGACTCCAGGAGTAATAATTAGGATGCTCAATGTATTTTATTTCCAATCTTAATGGCATCCTTTCAAGGTGAGTATTAATTATTATACACATTTTACAGATGGAAATTAAGGCTCACAGAGGTTAAGTGTCTACGGGAATTCCACACAAATACAGTAAACAGGATTCAACCCCAGTTGCAGGCTTAGCTCAGAAACTAAGATTTTTTTTATATATATATCACCTGCTTCTTAGGAATGGATAAAAAAGAACAAGATGTCTTATGCCCAATGTAGCAAGTAAGAATCTGAAGTTTTAATCTTCATAAATCAGAGCTCTCGATGAACTTAGAGTTTAAAATAACAGAAAAAAAAGTGTAAAATAATTCAGATGAGAGCTAATAAAATGATCCATATACTATGATTTTTTATCATTGGTATTTGATACAATTAAGATGTTTTTACTCATTATTAAAAATAATTGATAGCATTCATTGAACACCTACTGTGCACCAGACACTGTTCTAATCTTTTTTTTTTTTTTCCAATGGAACACTTCACGAATTTGTGTGTCATCCTTGCGCAGGGGCCATGCTAATCTTCTCTGTATCGTTCCAATTTTTTAGTACATGTGCTGCCGAAGTGAGCACTGTTCTAATCTTTACATGTGTTTTATCTCATCATTTTATCTTCAAAACGCTTCTATTACGTAGATACCATTATTACCCCATTTTAAGATGAAGCATCTGAGGTTAAAGAAGTTGGTCGAATTTGCCCAAGGTCACACCATTCATAAGTGGTGGAAGTTTCAGTCAAAGAACTTCCCCTCTCCAATCTGTTCATCTAGGTGGAGAAGCAGCCTGGTGAAAATCAGGTGTGCTCTTGACGATTAGCTGGATCCTATTGGTCATCTGGGGTCAAAGATGACCTGGGCAGGGAACATCCAGCAACTTCACAGCTAAAAGGATTTTTGTTTGCTCTTCTATTCCCTGAACCATTTATCTTTGGAAGAATCTGCAGTTTTATCATCATAAAGACTTCAATGAAGCAAGGAACGAAGTACACAAAGGCATAGTTATGAACTCAGGCTATTTTCATTTGTACTTAAAAATATGCTGGAAAGTCATTTTTTTTCCAGTGGGTGCATAACATAAGCAAATGCCATGATGGAGAATGGATTAGATAATCTTATCATGACAATGGCTCAGTTTAACAAGGTGCATCATTTCACTTAACAGGATCTAATAAGGCAGAGCAGCCAAGCTGCCAGGCTTCCCTGTGTCTGCAGCGTTTCTAATATTCCATATAACACCAAATCTCTCTCCGGAGATCCCGCGGAAGGATGTGTGATGGCAGAGCTCTTGTGTGACATTCATCTTCATGAGTGAGCTGTTCCATCTCCTCTCACGAGCGGAGATAAACGTCAGAAGAGATCAGCCGTTGTGTATTACATGGCCACTCTAAGCGTGCAGCTTCCCTCCCTCTGCCCTTCAGCACCAAAATTACTTTAGACCAGAGCTGGGAGAGAATTCAAAAAGGTGGGAGGCTGTGTACATTAGAGGAAGGAGCAGACCACAGGAAACTAAATAAAAGATAAACTAAAAGGGTCCTGGCTTCCTTTTATGAGAGGCAGGGAAAAATGAATCTGCCCATTACTATTCCTCCTTCTCGAGAGGCATTTTTTATTTTCCAGCCTACTGGTCTTCAAGGTGGGGAAGAGCAGGGTGTGGAATAGAAGGGGTAGAGGTGTTCTGGGGCTGGGGCAGAATGATCAACTGACCACAGGCAGAAAATATCAGAATTTCTCCTTAAAATGACTATTATCTAGATAGTAACAAAGAAATTAAGTTGTCTACTGTTTAATATGGGGATTGGCATGGCTGTCTCGATGTCAACCTAATGTGATGGGTAATTATAAAACAGAAGATGAAGGTGCAGCAATCTATCCACTCATCACTGTTGTATTGCAGGGCTGGAGTATGAAAAACACATTAAATTCTGCATCTACGGTTTTTATATGTTAGTTAAGTATCGATGGTTGCATGGGAGAGGTCTCCAGGGGAAGAAATGGGAACAGCTAGCTCCCTTTCTTTTTCTTTTGCTTTTAGCTTCTGGCAAGGTATTTAAGTTTCTAGAAGCTTACTCTGATTTCCAGATTATATTCTAAATTAAACTAAACCTCGCAAAATAGACAATTACTTTTTAAAAGAAAACCTGCTTAGAAGTCATCTGTAGATGGTAACATTAAATTGCAATCAAAATGACCAGAAAATGGCAGCATGGACATGGCCTACCCCAATATTTTAGGTCTTTTGGGGTAATTCTGATTTTTGTTAAAATAATCTAATCAGATCTAGAAAGCTAATCAAAATTCCTCAAAATTACCAAAAAGACCATTTATAGCTATACCTAATGGTAAACTCCATGGCAAAATTCTAGTGTGCCAGGAGCTATAAATAGCATAAAGATGTAACCATAAGGTAGACATAAACCATTATTTGTTTCATCTTTTTCTCCTATTTTAAAACTCTTTTTTGTATGTTTTCTTACGTGCGTAATACATTAGTATAGTCAGGCATATACACTTTTTTAAAATGCATAAACTAATCTAGTAAGAACACATACACACATATCTGGATTACTGACACATTATCAACATAGTTTGGAGACTTTGCATCTGATGACGACTGGCCCCACAGAGTAGTCAGCCCACATCCTTCACCGCTCATCATTGTTGTCAAGTTCAACTTCTGAGAGAAAATGCAAATGCAAACCCCATTTCTTCTGAATGTTCTTTTTCCTTTCACCCTTCCATATCCATACTCAGGTACCTCAGCTCACAGTTCTCCCCACAAGGAGCACCCTGGCATCCTCTTAAAACATGGCACCATACCTGGGACTTGAACAGCATTCTAGAAATAGAGCATCGTTTCTCAAGATATATTAGAGACAAGGCAATAGGAAAGTAAGGTTCTCCCAAATTAACAACAAGAGCTAATACAGGCAGGAGAGAAGCAAAGAACTCTTCTAAAGCAAATCAACTCAAAGATCAGGATAGGTAAATAGGGAGAGAGATATTGTATAATCTAAGGCATCATTTTATAATTGAGAGATGTGTTCTAATTTGTGACTGAATAGAGATGACACAGATCTATCCTGTTGTTACATCACATTATTGGAAATATGGTAACACGACATGGTGCATAATTATAAAACAAACCACATTACAATGTAGCAATCTTATCCATTCATCTCTGTTGTATTCATGGCTGGAGTATGAAAAAGGAATTACATTATACATTCATGGTTTTTTTCTTACCCCTCTGTTACTCTTTAATCATATAATAATTGTCTTGTTAATAGATCTAAAAGCTATCAGCATTGGTTCTCCTTAGGTCAAAGCTGAGCTTTTGAAAGTGTGCTTCTTGCTTCTTTTGAGAAATATGTGGGTCCCCTGAGCCTTCTTATTCCATAGTTCCAAGAGGAGCATCCTCCAATAAGACATCTATGCATCCCATTAGGAAATAATGTAAAATGTTATGTTTGTCCAATCTCTTACTAACTTTCAGGTCCAAGCCACCTTTAAGCTGGATCTTCCACATTTCCTGGGAATAACTATTTTCAGAGAACACTAAAAGTCATTCTTGACACACCAAGGTCCAAACGTAGGTTTTCATATTTTTTTCTTGCAGTTGCAGGCTATCACCTTGAGGTGATTTTTAATCTAAATCTCTCTGAACCGTAAGAAAGGTCCTGAGAGTCTTCAGATAGGTGAGCCGGAGAGCAGTTGCCATTTAGGTGAATGGAAAACCAACAAAGTCATAATATGTTGCAATTTTTCTAAAGGATGTAAAAAAATACTCTTCAGATTCATATCCTAATAGATCAGGGATTGAATACTTCCAACTCTTTTATTATAGGCTGCTAGTCAGCCTGGCTCTGTGTCCTGCAGACTGTCATTATCTCTATGGCGATTTTTGCCTTTGTATCTGATACAGCAACAAGATTCTTGACCTTTCCCATCCATTAATACTCCTATCCTCAAAGCCTCAAAAGCCAAGAGGCATAAGGGTATATTCTGTTTCTTTTCAATAGTGACAACTGCCCTAAACTCTAAAATGTCTGATCATACTTTTTTCTTAGAGACCTCTAGTAACTTCAGAAAGAGATGAAACTTACTCTATTTAAAAAAGCAAGCACTCCTCTCCCAGTTTTTATAAGAAACTAGCACTGAACTAATAATTAATTACATATATTCTACGTCTCATAGTAATTCCTATCCTTATTTTCTTTTAAATTTGAATCGTATTTTTCATCTGAAGAAAATGTACACATAAGCAATCTAGACATCTAGAATGCATTTCTTTCATCAAAATCTATGGAGAGTTTAAAGTTCATCATAACTTTGCAGGATAAATGGATGACACTGGCAACCGATCAAGGATTGAAGATGAATTTTGAAACTCCTCCCTTTTTTATTTATTTATTTTTTTCACAAAATCACCTTGCTGTGGGGAGGAGTGACTTGCATGTATTTATCACCCTCTTGTACTTTGGAAAACTAAAGCACAGGGTAGACAGGAACAAAATACAACACCTCAGACATTTCGCTCTCTGGGTTCAGCACACACAGGTAAGGCTTGACTCACTAATCACAGGTAGACTCTCTATGGCTGCTAATACCTAACAACAAGATCTAAGAGTTTAATGTGGTTAAATGAAGATACACTATCTTTCAGCAAATCCAAAGGTATTTCTTGAGGTCTACTGTGGGTGCCAGTGTATATGCTTATACCTCTGAAGGTCAGGGCACTGGACATTGGGACAGAGTGACAACAAGTTTAGCAGACAAGCACAGATTGCTGATGTTTATAAGATCCATATGGAAAAATAGGAAATTGAGAGAAAATTACAGGACAGAGAAAAGGAAGCTAACAGCACTCTAACTTACTCGTAATAACATATTTCATAGCCTGTCCGTATCCAGGTGGGTCTGCCAAGAAGAGCCTCCTTCACGGAATACAGGGTGGGCTGCATCCCTACACAAAATCAGAAAAGGAATTAATCCATGAGGAAAAGAGAGTTGTTCTGGGCCAAATAGGGACCCTCAAAGATACATAGGTCTTAACCCCTGGAAGTTATGACAGTTAGCTATATATGGCCAAGGGGATTTTGCAGATGCGATTAAGTTAAGGTTCTTGAGATGGTGTGATTATGAGAGGGAGGTTTCATAAGGACACAAATGTCCTTATGAGAGGGAGGCAGAGGGAGGTTTGACTATAGAAGAGATGCGATGTGACTGAAGCAGAGTGAGATTTGAAGATGCAACACTACTAGCTTTGAGGATGAAAGAAGGGGCCGTAAGCCAAGGAATGTAGGGCATGTGATTCTACAAGCTGGAAAAGGAAAGGAAATGGACTTTCCCCTGGAATCTCCAGAGGAAACATGGTTCTGCCAACACCTTGACTTCAGCCCAGAGAAAATGATTTTGGACCTCTGAACTCCAGAACTGTAAGAGAACAAATTGGTCTTGTTTTAAACCCCCAAGTCTGTGACAATTTGTTACAACCGCCATACAAAGCGAATATAAATGCCAAGATTCATATTTTCTCTTCTCATACCCACAAGAATCTGTTCACTCACCACAAAGTACAGGCAGTATCCTGAGCTTGGACCTAGACACCTGGGAATACTTATTCCTCATTCAAAGCCACCCAGTAAATTAGCATATGATGTATGCAGAATTTCCATTCCTCGAAATATTCGAAATAAATGCAGGCTGCTAGTCACCTTTCTCTCTTTAATATCTCCTCCAAAATGGCAATGGGTATTCGGGAGAATTTAAACTTCTTCAAGAGCTTTCTGAGAATGTAAATCAGTGTCGTCCAATTGGATTTTATTGTTCTCCTATCTAGTGACAAGCAGGTCAAAATAATTGCTCCTATGGGACTTAGGAGACGGAGAGGAGGAATAAATGATAGAACTCACCAACCTCAAAAAATTCAAGGTACAGCAAAGGAATCCGGAAGCAGAGGATATTACATGTGCAGAGTGAGGATGCCCACCCTCCCCCCTAAAATAGTAGCGTGCCGCTGAGGGCCACTGCCTGCCTGCCACACCTGGGAACCCAAAATTCCACCCAAATTCAAACCCTCTGAGCCCATGCAAGGCTCTTTGAATCCAAACAGTCAAGAAATCATTTCATTCCTGGCATGCTGGGGAAAGCCCCTGCTCCCCAAGAGTTCATACCATAATTAAACTGACTGTTGGGCTTCTCGCAGTTGATGATGTTGAAGCGGTAAGGGATGGCCGCCTGCATACCGCTCACCCGGAAGTAGAACCACTGCTGGTGCTGGGTGCTGTTCACGTCCGCATTGACCAACAGGTCATACTCGAACCTGTAGATCAGAAGCAAGGCTGGAGGGTTGTCCGGAAAGACTTTAAGGTAACCTTGAGACACTGAGAAGCTACATGCTTCAGGTTCTGGGCTATATAGATCTAACCCCCAGGATCTCAGCTAGCTGGTGACTTATACTGTTTATCATCCTGATATCACAATATTGGGTACAGGTTTTGGAAATTTGTGGAGGTGAGGGGGCTTCTTTGTATTAGAAGAGTCAATTACACAGTAGTGTATATTTTTAAATTTTTTAAAAAAATTATGGATACACAATAGTTGTACTTATTTATGGGGTACATGTGATATTTTGACACAATAATACAATGCGTAATGATCAAATCAGGGTAACTGAAATATCTATCACCTATTTAACACTTCTTTCGTGTTAATAACATTCCAACTCCAGTCTTTTTATTATTTGAAAATATTAGCATATATTTGTATTGAACTATAATGAAGTTTTTATCTAGCTAGAAAAAATGCAAGTGTGCTTTATACCAGAGAAAATTCAACCTCATCCGGTTTGGATACACCATTGCTATTTGATGATCAGCATTACTTTCGAGCCTCAATTTCCACATCTGGAAAATGGAAGTGTCTAAACTTTTGGTGCTATTTATAAAACTCAAATAACTAGTAAATATAAATCCCCCAGCAAAACAACAAACATGAATTACACGAGTAATGCAGGGGTTGTTCCATGTTCATTGTGATGTAACTTCTATGCTATAAAATACACACATTTTGCATATACAGCTCAATGAATTTATTTACATCTGAAACCACTTGCATGACTACTACACAGATATCGGAAATTTCCAGCACCCCAAGAGGACCTCAGGGATCATACCCTCATCGCTGTATCTCCAAAGGTTATTATTTTTCTGATCTCTAGCAACAGAACTAGCAATGTACTTTTGACTTAAACATTATCAGGATATTTTATTTTTAAAAATGTTGTTCCGTCCTCTTGGTATTCTCTTTGAGTTGCTCTTCTGAAAAGGATAATGTTTTTGCCCCAATGCATTCATATTCTCCCACGTGGGACCCCTAGTGAATGGCTTTGTGTAGTGAGATTTACGAAAGGCTATAGCATGGTACGAGACAGCTGCAGAGCAGAGCTATCTGATGAAGTCCAGCCCTCACACTGTCGCTGTGAGCACCATACTCTAACCACTGAACCACCACCCAATACATGAAGCATAACCCCCCGAGTGGCACTCACAAGAGCTACTTGGAAAGGCTATGATCCTCAAATTGTCTGCTACTCCCACAGTGCTCTCTCCAAAAAGTAATCACAAAAATTCCTTACCCATGAATAGGTTTGTTTACTGTCATTTCTCTATAACCCTGGTCATAACTGATGAATTTAGGATTTTACACTCTGGTCCAAGGGAAATGTATAGAGAAAAAGACCTGAGCGGGCCCAGCAGCTTGGGCACATCCTGATCTGATAACTGTCCCACCAGGAGACTCATAATCAGGTCTCCTCTCCTGGATCCTTTGAACATGATACCTGGAGAGAAGGAAGAGTCAAAATAGGAGCTACAGGAAGAAGTGGAAGCTAAGCCGACAACCCAGAGAAGGCTGAGAATGAGTCTTGACATGATTGTCTTTCTCGTGTTTAGCCTGATTCGGTAAACTTGTCTCTGTATGTTGGGCTTCCTTCAGATATTTTATGTACAAAAAAAAGGATCACCCTTCACCTCCCCCAAAAAGGAAAACCTTCAAAAATGAATCCTCAGGTGGATATAAAGGAGGTCCCAGCTACACTGAGTTCTGAGCTCCAACCATGGTGAAGATGCATCACCCGCCTATGGGTGAGAACATGCGCTGTTTGATTTTCTGTTCTTGTGTCAATTTGCTGAGAATGATGGTTTCCAGGTTCATCCGTGTCCCTGCAAAGGACACGAACTCATGGTTTTTTAGTGCTGACCATGTGTCACGTACTACTAAAAGAGTTTTAAGCGTATTATTTAGCTCTCATGAAATCCCTAAGAAGTAGGTGCAATTATTGTCCTCATTTTGTGAGCAAGGAAATAAAGGCATGGAGTGAGTTAGGAAACCTGCTCAGTCTCCTGGTTGGAAGGTGGTGAAGTGGCCCTGGTGTCCGTCTATGGCCACCACACCATTATCTGTTCTGGACTGCTTTTTCAGAAGTTCACCCATAGAAGTCGAATCATATATGTTGTCTTTTGGTATATGGGAAATATATCCACACTGCTATAATAGAAAGAATTTTAACATAGTGAAAACAGAAGTCTCTTCTGAAACTGAAAAAGAATTAAAACTCATTTGTGTTTTATTTCCTTCCTTTTACTTTGTACAGCCCTAGATTTTCCTTGGCTGTGATATCCGTCTCTACCGAGAGCCCATCTGTAGGTTCTGCTAGAGAGCACGGTACTGCATCTTCCCTTGAAGGCAGGATGGTTCACCTCTCTCTGGGAATCTCATGATTTGCCACCTAAGGAATGAGAGCAACAGGCGTGGCGAAGTTCAGGAATAGCAAGCCCATGTGCCCTTCCACGTCAACAGAATCAGCCTTGGCATCAAAGTGCTCTCAAACCCAACTATGGACCCATTACTTGAAGCATAAGACACATTAATAACAGTTCACTTCTACTGAATGGCTCACTCAGCTATGATACCCGTGAGTTCCCTAGTGGTGTACTAGTGAATGTTTAACAAATGACTCTCTGTGACGAAAACCTTCACTTGTACCATTTGCCAGTTTTTATGATATAAATATTCCCACCATGGCTGATTTCAAGCTACCAATGTGAGGTCACTAGTCACTGAACAGAGCGTGGGGAAGAGACAGTGACAACATGCTTTCATGAACTGCGAAGAGATACCCCCTGTGATTTTCCTTACTTACTCACGCACGTGGATGGCTTTGCGAAGGTTTCCTGATTCAAATTTGGAGAAGAACTTTAAGCAATTGGAAGCACTATCTTGCAAAGGCCTATAATGAAATAAAGAACATGTGAACATATGTGTTATGGCTACTCTTGAAAACAGGGTGATGATTCTTAAAGATAAGCTTTCTCTTATAGATTTTTTTTATCGCATTTTTGGTTTTGGGGTACATGTGAAGAACATGCAAGACTGTTGCATAGGTACACATATGGCAGTGTGGTTTGCTGCCTTCCTCCCCATCACCTATATCTGCCATTTCTCCCCATGCTATCTCTCCCCAACGCCCCACCCCCTGCTGTCCCTCCCCTATTTCCCCCAGAGAGACCCCTCCCTGTGTCCATGTGTTCTCATTGTGATGCTCCCCTCCCTATGTCCATGTGTTCTCATTGTTCAACACCTGCCTATGAGTGAGAACATGCGGTGTTTGATTTTCTGTTCTTGTGTCAGTTTGCTAAGAATGATGGTTTCCAGGTTCATCCATGTACCTACAAAGGACACGAACTCATCATTTTTTAAGATCTTTTTTTTTTTTTTTCTTTTGAGACAGAGTCTTACTCTGTTGCTCAGGATGTAGTGCAGGGGCATGACCTCAGCTCACGGCATCCTCCACCGCCCGGGTTCAAGCAATTCCCCTGCCTCAGCCTCCCAAGTAGCTGGGACTACAGGCACACACCACCACACCCAGCTAATTTTTTTGTATTTTAGTAGAGATGAGATTTCAACCACGTTGGCCAGGATGGTCTCAATCTCCTTACCTGATGATCCACCCGCCTCGGCCTCCCGAAGTGCTGGGATTACAGGCGTGAGCCACCACGCCCAGCCTCTCTTACAGATCTTTAACCTGAATTTCCATCATGCTGTGTTTAGGAGGAAGAGTAGATTACTAACAGCAAACATGTCTATTCTCAGGCCATTAACAGAATTCTCCAGGTCCCGCATTCCTCAGATGCACAAGTCTACCTACCAAGGCTCATCTAAACTGAAGACAACTTTATTTATAACATCACTTGGCTGGATGAGCCTCCGAATATCCTCAAATATCCTGATCCTGAAAAAGAAAATTGAAAACATTTTAAGGGTCAGCCTTCCCTCCTTAGCTCACTCATCCTATAATCACCTGGGAAGAACTCTGGGAGTCATTGGAGAAATATGAAGGCACAGAGAAGTTTAATAATGCCTCAATCTTGAGCTCAGAGAGTGCAAATAGCCCTGCCCTCCTTCTTTCTCTTCCTTCATCAAAAAATAAAACTGCACTGAGAAGTAGGAATGTAGGAATTGCAATGTTAGATTTTGGTTATCACTACATCGGTAGTAATGTGAGAATTCTTGGCTTAAAGAATTGTATCAAAGGCACTTGAGTTAGGGGACTTTGGAACTTTTCTAGCTGTGAGAATAAGAGGGTAGTCTGCACTGGGGAAGTCTGAAGGAAGACATTAGGATTATTAGCTGCTAGCGTCTTCAAGGTTTGGGAGGCTCCAATAAGCCTCATACCCTTGTGCAATTTATGTTCCTTGGGCTCTGCCTGATCCAACAGGCTGAGGTCATTCTTCTGTCTAAGAAACACCAAAATCTGTGATATTTAACTGAGAGAGGGAAAGAAAGCTTAGGAGGTCTTTCAGATTACCATCGGAATTTCCAACCCAGTCCATAGGAGAGGCATGAGAGAAGGCTGGGAAAAGTCAGGCATGAGGTCTGGGCTTAGAGGGAAGATGTTCTATGCAGGGGTGAGATGGCGCTACAATGGCCCTTGTGGTCAGTTTCTCAAAAACATGAGCATGTCAGATAAAGTGCAGGGGGTAGGGTGGGAGATGTCAGTCAGGACCCAAGTGGGAGCAGTCTGGGGGTCTCCCTCCTATCAAGAGAATAATTTCTTTCTGGTCTGCCCACTTTGCTCCATTGACTTGGTATGTGTATACATTTTTTTTTCAAGGAAAATAATATTTCCTTTGCCTTTAGCAGTTTTCATTTTATTCTCAATATGCTGAGTCATAGGTAAAGCTTCCTTTCCTGCCTTCTGGGAATAATCTGTCATCCAGTGTTTCTTCCCTGGAGAAAGTCTTTTCCATCCCCTCCTCTGTGAAGCAGCAAAACTGCTCCAAACCAAGCCAGGGTCCATCAAAGCTGGGGCTGTGGAATGGAGGCACACCACCTTCTTTCCATTAGCAAGAGATCTCATACCAATTTGCGGTAAACAAGAAAAAAGGTCCCAAATAATCAGCTCTTGGTTTTTCTGAAAACCTACTTTTGAGGAAGGAGCCCAGGATTTGGAGAAACAGCATGATCTTCCTTTGTGACAGTGGTTTGCAAGGTAAATAGGATAAGGAGTTGTATTAGATGTATTCAAGGAAGTTTTCATCAGAAAATGCATGCCTACCACTACCCCACATTTGATCCTGAAATGTCCTTGCAGGGAAGAAAATTTGGGTGTTTGGCCAAAGTTTCCCAACAGGCTTTACCATGTTCCTGATTAATGCCCACTTTTCTATAGATAATAGAATTATCTGTACAAACCATTCCACTTATCAAATTACCAAAGAACAGAAAAAATAGAGCTCCCAAGTCAGCAGCACCATCACCTTTGGACTCCCCATTTGCGTTCCAACATGGGCTGGGTGGCAGGAGGGGGACAGTGTCCCCAGAGATCAGGAAATGCCATCATCTTGAAGTCCACCACAGAGCTGGTTCTTCTGGCTTTGGCCATATAAAGATAGGGATCGTGGAAAGGGACACGCTTCGGCTGTGTCTGCAGAAGCTTATCCATTACTTGGACAGTTTCTGCAGTCCTACTGGAATTGGAGAAGGAGGCATCCATCCTTTGGCAGAAAACTGCATCTACGTCCCAGGCATCCGCTTTCAGGGAATCCTGAATGTCAGAGATTTCACTTTCAGAAGAATCTCTCCCGAGATGATTGGATTGCACATTTTGGTACGGGTTCACTACAGGCTTTCCTTTGGATCCCAGATGCGCAGTGGACCTTCCCGCCTTCACCATACACAGAAGAGGTGACCGGACAGCATCTTCTCTTTCTTGCCCACAGGAACTTTGGTCCTTGTTGAAGCAATGCTGCTTTGAGGAGGCAGCCGTCGGAATGTGGTGGTGATTGGCAAACTCAGTCTTTTCAGGGTTCAAATCATCTCTAGGTTTGGACTCCAGTTCCTTCAGGTTCAAAATGGAATAGGATGTGTTAGTGTGACCTTCCAGATAGGGAGCACAATTTGATCCCTGTCCTTACTCTCTGGGCACAGAGCTAAGCATAAATCCTGTGAATTTGGAAGCTTTTTCCAAGGTCAACTAAGAAAGACTAACATTCAAGAGTCAAATAAATAACAGAATCAAAGAAACTCACTATGTTTGGAAGGGGCTTTTGGTGGGTCTAGTCCAATGGTATTTGAATGTCTTCTTCAAGATTCCCACTAAATTATAATCTGGTTGAAAAACCATTATTTATGGGGGCCTCACTGCACCCCAAGGCAGTACCTTTCACTTGAGGATAATTCAGCTTATTTGAAAAAAATATTTATACTACACTGAAATTTCCTTTCCTAAAACTGTTTTTACTGATCGCTGCCTGCTTTCTGAAGTCAAATAGAATATATTAACTCCCTTCTGTACACGTGACTTAGCTTATACCCTTAGATGTAGCCAAATTCATGATTTATTTCTAAGAGCCATAAGAAAATAATGGAGATCAAAAAGCAAGTCTAAAATATTCATGGCAGCAACTAGACACAGAATTACCATCACCGGGTCTAAGGTTCTCAATTTGTTTCTAACTGACAAAGAAAGCCTGAAATCAGGATGTCCACTTCAAAAAAGCCACCTAGGACAATTTCCCCACTTTGGCATGAGAACAATGAAATCATCATGAATTTTTCTTTGTTTTTCATTGCATGGGGGCAGGGTGTGCTTACACAAATTTAGATGGTATACCCTATTGCATACTTAGACTACATGGTGTAGCCTACTGCTCCTAGGCCACCAGCCTGTACAGCACGTTAGCATACTGAACACTGTAGGCAATAGTAACACAATGATATTTGTCTGTCTAAACATAAAAAGATGTAGTGAAAATACAGTCTTATAATCTTATGGGACTATCGTGGTGTATGTTGTCGATCATCAACGTAAACGTCGCTATGCAGCACATGACTGAGTATCCATCCTGAGCGTGAGTGTCAGATTGAAGAGCCCTTGCATACATCCTAACTTTTTCCCATTTTTGCCACCTTTTCCCAATTTTGTTTAGCATTTTGCTTTTCTCTAAGGAAGAGCCCAGAAGTATATAGCTAATGATGAGCAATGCTTTCCATCCGGACACCCTGGTTTGGCCTCCCAGGATCTGCAAAGAACCCATCATACAACATCAAAGATCAGAACCACAGCACGGGTCCTACCTCAGAGCTGCAGGAGAGCTCAGGACACATCGCCCCATACTGCATCAGCTCCTCTTCCGGCCGGTCCAGACCAGGTTTGGAACTCAGCTTGTCCACATCTGTTTCCAAGTCATCATCCTACAAGGAATATTCATAGAAGAGGTTACAATCAGGAAATTCACCCTGAGAAGCATCAAGACAAGATACGTATGTGCTTCTTCAGAATCTTAGGACGTGGTTTTCTAGCCTCTAAATTACAGCACTAGCTTAACCAGTGAAGAATTTGTTATGCCGGATTGTATTTTTAAAATAAAAAGAAGATAAACAACTTGTCTCAGCATGTATGTCAGTATTTATCAGCCTTCATCAGAAGTAAAAATTTGTATCAAATGATATAAACTAGATAATCAGTGAAACACATGATGGAATAAATTCCTTATTTCATCACCACTATCATCAACTTCATTGTAATTACTGTCACTCTTTATCTATCGTTGTCATTTAGGTTTGTCAATCTTTTCACAAACATTTCATCAGTACCTACTGTGAGCAAGTACGCTTCTAGGTATTGAGGTTTCAGTCATAACAGAACAGACAAACGTCCATGCTTCCATGGAATTTGCCTTTTAGTGAGAAAAGAAAAACAGTAAAGAACAAAGTAAACAAATGAATAAGTTAATTTTCAACAGGGATAACTGCCCTTGAAATGATGAAACAGACTGATATGACTAAGGCTGAGGAACGAGAGCCTGTTCAGATTCGGAGACCTGAGGAGGACTCACAAGGAGGTAATGTTTCAACGGAAACCTACATGACAAAAAAAGCCAAGGACGTGCAGGCCTAGAAGTGAATTACTAGCAGAAGGAAAAGCTGGAATTTGCTTTCAGAAAGAAGGTGGCTGATGCATACAGATTAAGAGGAAGATGGCAGAAGACGAGATTTGAAAAATAGGTAGGAGAGAAATTATATCGATCCTCACGAGATCTGGGGAGGAGCTGGTATTCTCCAACTGCACCTTTATCCCTTTGCATATTTAAAAGTTTACCAAGGCACCGCCAGTCTTTTGCTTATTGGATTGAACAATCCCAGGTACTTTTTTTTTTATTCTCGATAGATCATCATTTCAAAACAATTTAATGATGATGGTGACTCTCCTCTGAATACCAAGGGTTGTAGGGTCTCACAGAGAAAAGACACCAGGAATCAACCAGCCCAGTCTCTTCATCTTTCTACAACCTAGGTCAAGTTTCCTTAATGAAAGAGAGGGGAAAAACCCATGCCATGTGTTTTACAAGTATATTTCACTAGTTAAGGAAAAACCTGGCAGTCCTGAAAGGTTAAATTCAATAAATGTGGAAAATAGATGTTTGTATTCCTGATCCAAGGGGGAGAAATGCAATAGTCCATCTATGTTTCACAATTTTTCCCCAAACTTCAAATTAAAAGAAAAGTAATTCCCGTGTGCTTCACTTAATAATATTTCAGGTATAGTACACACCATGATCAAATCCATGACCACCATTCTTGTCCTTTCCAGCTTTATCTATCAGTTTCTGCTTGTCTCCACTCCCTCCACTGCAAACTCAGCCATAGCACAGGGTGGCACTAATGGAAACACAATCTGAAAGGCCACTGGGAAGAATGTCCCCACCAGTAAGGTTGTGCTCCAACCAGTGCATCCGAGCAGAAAAGAGTCATGCAACCCATGAGCTGCAATCTAATTCATTCCACATGTGACTAGGCGACCCACTTAGCCTTAGAGCAGGGATTAATGGACTATGGCCCACTGGTTGTTTTTGTCAATAAAATTTTATTGGAACAGAGCCACACCCATTCATTCATTTGGTCATGGCTGTTTTCTCAGTGCAACAGCAAAATTTAATCATTGTGACAGAGACTATTTCTGACCTTCAAAGTTCTGGAGCTTAGTCTCAGCCAGGTTGCAACTTCCTTTTGTATTTCTTATAAATGGCATTTATACTAATCTGGAGATGGACTTGCTTCTGTGTCATCACAGCATCCCAGGCAGTCCTTTACCAACTGGAATCCTGGTACCTACCTAATCCAGGTAATGCTTTCTGGCTCTTGTTCCATAGGATGGACCTTTTAGACATTGTCTTTTGGCTGCCTTAGATTTGGGCTCACCACTCCACTGAAGGTGGTGATTTTAACACTTAATAGGGACAAACTCCAAGTTCACTAGATGTGAACTCTTTGAAGATAAAAACTACGTCGTCTTATCTGTTTGTGTTTCATGTTAATATACCCAAGAATGCAGCATGTTGCATATGGATCATACCCAAGAAAGTGCCTGAAAGGAATAAAAAAATTAAAAAGAAAGGAAGGAAGAAGGAAGGGAGAGCTTGAATTCACTCTGTTTATCATTCTCTTCTTCAGAGTTTGTCTGAGTCTCATGCTTGTGTATGTGAACAGAGCCCACATCTAATACGTTGACCTTGGCAATTTTCAATCAAAGCACACCACCCTACTTTCCACTCTAATGACCCTTTACAGATAAAAGATCCTCTTAATCGTTCTTTTTAAGAGGCTGGTCTCAATTATTACCTAAGATTGTCAAATGGGAAGGCCACAGGTTTAAGGCCCAGATCAGTTCTGTGACCAGAAATAAAATATGCCTGACTTCTGGTTCACACCTCTGGCAGTAAATGCTGCTGCGTTCCCTGGGGAAAACCCAGTTTTCTGAAGCACCAGTTTCCTTGCTCTTGCTGTGCCTCCAAATCAAGCCCTGACTCTCATGTTCCTCTCCATTTCTACAACTCATGCTCACACTGACTTCTCACCTTCTTGCCTTGGCTTGAAGCCTTTTGATGAACAGTTTTCAAGCCCTTACCAATTTGTCTTGTGCTTCTTTCCCAGTTGAGTTTATTTGCCTGTTTAGGTTTCTCTCTACCCTACCCCTTCATCCTCTGCAGAGCATGGGAAAGTATCTGAATGCCTTCCCTCCCATGCTGTGGGACATCAGGCACTGTCATGCACCCGGTCCCTTCCCATCAGATACATGGGGCGAGTGACACTCGGTATCAGACATTCAGTTATCAAAGAGCAAGCAAGAGGGGAGGGGAAGTGGCATTGATGAATGACTGCAGCAGCACAGTGTTATTCAAATAATTCCGCACATACTCCACAAGCCTGCACCACCAAGCCACAGCAAAGAACCAATTTGCTACCGATGACTTCAGAAATGATTCTATTTATCAACAAAACCCAAAGAACACCAGACGGTCAATAGCAGTCTAAGCCTACAGATGTAGCTAAGAGGTAGTCCGTGTCTGCTGCTGCTACCATCAGCAAGGTCAGTGAGTGTCATGATAGAAAACTCAAAAGCCTCTTTCTTTCTAGACAGATAGGAAAGAAGGAGAGAAAGGAAAGGAGGGGAGAAAACTGATTTTTTAAATTTGAGTTTCATCCCCAGGAAATGTCATAAAAGGCAGCATTTACTTTAATTTACTGAGTCTTATTTTATAGATGATGAAATTAAGAAACTGCAACTTAAAGGAATTTGTCAAAGTGCAAGTCCACCAACAGAAATGGAAACAGAATTATAATTCATAGACAAAGTCTTATTCTAGAGCAGTGGTCCTCAACTAGGGGTGATTCTGGCAAGTCTTAGAGATACTTTTGGCTCATGCCTGGGGGGAAACGAGGTAGGCATTACTAATATCCAGTGGGTGGAGGTCAGCGGTGCCTCCAAACATCATACGATGCACAGGGCAGCCTCCCACAACCGAGAAGTGTCCAGTCTAAATGCCAAGAGTGCCAAGGTCTAGAAACCTTGCTGTAGAAAAACAATCCATAAACTATGTCTCATTGCTTATTTCTGTACATAAAGATTGCTTGGAACACAGCCATGTCCATTTATTTACGAATTGTCTATAACTGTTTTGTGCTACAACAAAGCTGAACAGTTGTGACAAAGACTGTGTGTTCTACAAAGCCTAAAATAACTACTATTGGACTTTTTTTTTTTTTTTTTTAGACAGAGTCTCACTCTGTTGCCCAGGCAGGAGTGCAGTGGCGTGATCTCTGCTCACTGTAACCTCTTCACCTGCCGGGATCAAGTGGTTCTCCTGCCTCAGCCTCCTGAGTAGCTGGGACTACAGGCGTGTGCCACCACGCCTGGCTAATTTTTTTGTATTTTTAGTAGGGGGAGTTCACTGTGTTAGCCAGGATGATCTTGACCTCCTCACCTCGTGATCTGCCTGCCCCGGCCTCCCAGAGTGCTGGGATTACAGGCATGAGCCACTGCACCTGGCTACTACTGGATTTTTTAATAAGAAGTTCACCAACCTCTGTTTTATAGGATAGGCCTTTTTGGGAGGGAGCCCAAAGAGTAGCACTTCTCTGCTGGCCAGGTTGTGCACTGTGCAACTTATGGGAAAACAATTCACAGACTCTGATGTCAGTGGAACTGTACAAGCAACAACCCTATGCAGAAAGGATAAGAAGAGTGACATATGAAGACAGACGAGATCTACTAGAAAGCATCCTGGAAAATCTTTCTAGGGTCTTTAAATGGTCTTATTAAATACACCAACTCCAGGTGTTAAGTGTGTATCTAAAGCTCATATGAATGGAATATCGGTGTCTTAATAAAGGACAGGATAGCCTCTGGCTTTACGAGACATTGTACCAGACCTACCAAGATGAAAATGACAACTTGAAAATCAATAACAGTAGCTGTCATTTATTGAGCATCGCTACCACTGGAGTGGCAGTACTAAAGTAAGTTCTTAAAATTTACACTGGGCTTGGGCAAACATAGGAAGTGATATTTTTCTGTGCATGATGTGAATATGGACATCATTAGAAGCACGGGCTGGTGTACATACTTCCACTTTTCCATCTTCAGAATCAGAGTCTTTGTCCACCTCCTCCTCACCATCATCTTCAAAATCCTCTGGAAGGGGGAAAAGAGGTGAAGTGAGTGAGGTTGCCCCTTTGCCTGGGATTTAGGATCTAGATGTTCATCACACAGTGGTTCTTGCTCCTTCTTCCTCTCTCAAATAAGGGGTGCAATATTAATAACACAAAATCCCAACACACGGGAATACTTATTGGTAGGTATAAATGGTGTACACGTGGGCAAGTCAGGGCACTAAGTTATAAAGTCTAAGCAGCTATCCCACGTTGAATGCAAAATAACTGCAGAATAAAACGACACAGGAATACCACTCTGAATCATCCCATGAAAGTTAGAGGCATTATGCAAAGAGCACAGCCAAAGTTAGAGATCACATACATACAAAATGCGTTATAACTTAAATATGACCTTGATTGGGCCCCTAATTTTTTGATGAAGGACGTTATAGAAGGCATTTTGTACCACTGTGGTAAAATTATGCCTATAGAAAACCTGTTCATACTAGGATCTTTTGACAGGAAGATCTTCCTAGAGATTAAATAATAATACTTTCAAATATTCCAATATGACTAGCCTGGAGTTGTAAATAACAAGAATTTTATTTATATTTCATCCTTAGGGCAAATTAATTCCACCATCAGTCAGTATGCTTCAGAGATTCAATCATGGGATTCTGAATAGACTTTTTTTTTTTAATTAGCTGAGATGACTATACAGCATTTGATAGCTACCAGGCAAAGCACAAACAGTTAATAATGAAGAACAAAATAAGTGAGCTTGGTATTTTCTCACCCTATTTACAAAAATACAAACTGCTTTTTCATCTATGTCTCTAATTAACTTAATGGACAATTATGGGGGACCTATTAAACAACTAATTCTGTTTTCATCCACGTTCCTGGGAAACATTGTCAAAATGCAAAAACTCATCCTAAAGGTCATAGTTACCCACTTATTTTACCTTCAAGTAGATCATGTGGAGGTTCAGACGCGATGCTCCCGGGGACTGGGAAGGCATAGGCACTGCTGGCTGTGACCAAGGGTAGAGGACTCTTAGGGTAGCACTGCCTCAGGATCTGAAGCACCACAGAAATGACGGGCTCCATGCTCTTGTCACCCAGGCAGTTCTGAGCAAAGGGAAGATTATATCGGACGTCGACATCTGGACACAGACCCCTAGCTGTAACGCAGCTCATAACAGTCTCCTAGCTGTATTTCAGCTAACGAATTACACACAGCCTACATGGACAGACCGTAAACAGCCTTAATGTAGAACGTCAAATTTGAACATTCTAACACAGAATTTTGTCTAACGTGGAATCCGCACTTTTCTGTCTCTTGCACATTTCATACACCATTGCAATGAATACGGTCTGAATATAGACTTAAAATTCTTTCAAAGGATGCTGCGCCTAAGGCAAGACATTGCTCAGGATAGCTGGGGGAAGAGGAGGTCGGTCTTTCTCAGCCACCCATGTGTCACTGTGAATTATTGCCTATGTTAGGGAATGAACAGCTGAATTGATAGAAGTCTTGCTTTTCTCTTTCAGCTGTCTTCTGAGGAGAAAAATATTTTTTTAAAAAAGATAAAACATGAAATCAGAAGAAAAGACTAAGTGAATCCCAAGTAACTAAATTAAATTACATGCCTCTTCTCAAAGCCCACAGTGTGGATCCCTCTTGGTACCTTCCCAAATCAGAGAAAAATTGGGTTTGCAGATGTAACATTTTGATACTGATAGAACATGACAAGACCCTTCTTCTCAGACACTGTGAAAAATGTAAGAACAAGTTCACTAAATTGAGAGACAGAGTTGACTATAGTTCAGTTTCTCTTTGGCAAAAACACAACCATTTTCTTCACTATCTCTGTAAATGTTTTGTCTACTGACTTGGTACAGGAAGGTGACTAGTGGGGGCCCCAGTTTGCTATTACCAAAAAGTGCAGCAAGCTCTGAGGCCAATAAGTCACAGAAGTGGAGACGGTGGATGCTAAGGACCCACCTCCGCGCAGCAAGGATGTCTGTGGAGCTGCTGAACTGTGACATCTCTAGACTCAACGTTACAGATACTTCCACGTGAAAGAACATGGAGGGAAAAAATAGCAAAAATGACTGCAAAATATAAGTAAGCCAACTTTTTTCTTTTCTTTTCTTTTTTTTTTTTTTTCCTTTTTTTGAGTCAGAGTCTTGCTCAGCCACCCAGGTTGGAATGCAGTGGCACGATCTCGGCTCACTACGACCTCCAACTCCCAGGTTCAAGCAATTCTCCTGCCTCAGCCTCCTGAGTAGCTGGGGTTACAGGCACCTGCCACCATACACAGCTAATTTTTGTATTTTTAGTAGAGACAGGGTTTCACCGTGTTGGTCAGACTGATCTCGAACTCCTGACCTCAGGAGGTCCACCCACCTCTGCCCCCCAGAGTGCTGGGATTACAGGCATGAGCCACCGTGCCCAGCCTTAAATAAGCCAACTTTCAAAATGAAATGTCTTAATGCAATCAAGACTGTTCTCTCTTCTTCAATGTGCGCCAGTCACACCAATCAGGTGTCCTGAATCAACAGCCTCAGAATGCACAGCCAGAAACACTCTTAGGGGAAAATGAATTCGTTTTGGCTAATTCATTATGGAGGCTAATGAACAGTTGAAGCTGTTTCACCCCTTGATCTGGTCAAACGATCTCAAGAGTTTCATAATGGGAAAACAATAAAACAGAGACTGAAGGAGGAAGCAAGAGGGTGAAGGAGATGGCTTGTCAGAGATAATGTTCTAAGCTCCAACCTTGGTAGACATAGAGCCAGCCCAAGCCAGGGAACTCAGTCAAAAATGCCAGCATTTTGGAACCCAGGTATGTCTGTGATGGTCTTTGATGATAAAAGGTAATCGTGTCTTTTTCTTTGGTGGAATGGTACAAGTGAAAAGTAAGTGAAAGCATGAGGTCAAGTTCAAATGTTCTGAAAAACGGGGCCATACCATGAACTGATTTTGGAGGCTGAGGAAGTATTAAAATCTATAAAACCCAAGGCATTAGGAATCATGCTGTATTTGCTGTCTGCTGCACTATAGGGGAAATACTTATGAATGCAGAGATTGTTAGTTTCAAAGTAACAGAAATTCTTGAATTCATTTGTCAACATTTCCCTCAATGGATAGGTGTGTGCAGGGCCGAGACAAAGTGAGGCAAGGGCATTTGCTTTCAGGCTCCTAGAAGTGCAGAGTTGGTACTTGTGCTATACGTCAGAAAAAGACAAGACTCCAGGAAACAGGATCCTTAAGAACCAATGTCTCAGAATTGGAGGCAAAGGTGAGATTTTAGGCTCCCTTTTCCCATCATTCTCAATAACACATCTGCTACTTGGAAGGGATGATGAAATATGAAAATGCTTAAAACATTCAATGCTTCCGTCACAGTTAACATCTTTGAATTAGCTTTGGAATAATAATTACCCTACTTGCGTGATATATGGGCAGGATAAAGTAAGAGCAAACTGCTCAGGTCCTGGAGCCAGACTATGTGAGTTTTAATCCTGGACTGAAGATTGCTAACTTCATAACCCTGGCAAATTAATAGCCTCCTCTGTGCCACGATGTCTTCTTCATCTGCAAAGTGGAGATAGTAACACAACCTCACTCATAATGTTGTGTGCGAATTAAATGCATTAAGGTAGGCAAAGCGCCTGACAGTAAGCACTTAGAATTAGCTAGCGGGAAGAAAGAAGGCCTCCTTAGTTTCATAAAGTCTCCTAAGAGTCTGCAAGCAGATGCTAGGAGTCACAGCTACTCAGAGGAGAGTCCTGGTAATGACCGCCATGATAACAAAGCAAGGCATTTTAGTGGGAAAGGACTTTGACTAAGAACATGAAGTTCTGGGTTTAAATTCCAGCTCTGCTTCTCTGTAGCCAAAGCCATCAACATCTCCTGCCTAACCTCCTGTAAACGCTCTAAGTCCTCCCCCTACTATCTTTCCTTCGCCTTGTGCCCTCTGATCATCTTTTCCAAATGGCAGCCAGAATGGACCTTTAAAAGCATGAATCAGTTTAATGGGTATAGAGTTTCCATTTTTCAAGATAAAAAGAGTTCTGGAGATGGATGAGTCATAGTGACGCTTGTACAACACTGCTTAACCCTACCAAACTGAACACTTAAAATGGTCATGATGGTGAATTTTGTTGCAGGTATTTTACTACAATTAACTTAAAATTTTTCAAAAATAAAAAAAAAAATGAAAAGCATAAATTGTATCAGGTCAGTCTCCTGCTTGATAGAAATAAAATTCTAATTTATTTTTACGCCCTAGGAAGTTCTACGTGATCTGGCCCTATCCCTTTAATTCTTGTCTTCTGCCCTCTTTGTGCCTGCTCACAAATTGATGGAGGCCAGGAGAGGTGCCTCATGCCTGTAATCCCAGCACTTTGGGAGGCCAAGGCAGGTGGGTCATGAGGTCAGGAGTTAGAGGCCAGCCTAGCCAGCACGGTGAAATCAGTCTTTACCAAAAACACAAAAATTAGCCAGGCATGGTGGTGCATGCCTATAAGTCCAGCTACTCGGGAGGCTGAGGCAGGAGAATTGCTTGAACCCGGGAGGCAGGAGAATTGCTTGAACCCGGGAGGCAGTGGCTGCATTGAGCCAAGATTGCACTACTGCACTCCAGCCTGGGTAACAGAGCAAGAGTCTGTCTCAAAACAAAACAAACAAACAAAAAAGTTGGTGGAAATAAAATTCGAACTCCTCATCATGATTCCAGGAGCTCTAAATGCCCTGGCACTGCCCATGACTCCAACTCGATCTCATGCCTTCCCCTGCACTCACAATGGTCTACCATGTCTGTTTCTCAAGCTCACCCGCCTCCCACCCTACTCCCCCACCTGAGGGTCTGTGCATGTACTTTCTTTTTCTCTCCCTGGAACCCTCATTCCAGATCCCCACGGCACTGGTTCTTTTTATCATTCAGGTCTCAGGTGACACAGCAGCTCTTCGACCCCTGCCTGGCATAACCCCCCTCTCCCTTCTCTTTCCAGTGATTCTTTGAATATACATGAGAAATTCTAAGGCTGAGAGCAGATGTGGTGCAGCTTCAATATAAAAATATCTTGAATGGAAATGGTTCAATCTCTTCTGGATTACCACTGAGATCTTTCCTTCTGCCTGACCCTCCAAAAAGTCCGCATTGTCCCACACGCTGTTCCCGGCTTCTCTTCCGTCTATGCCTCACGGCCACCTCCTTCTGCTTCCCTGAACAGTTCACAAACCAAGTGTTTCTCTTAGAGTTTTCAAGATGCTCTCCTAGCCTCATTCAGATGTGGCTGCCTTCATGGAGCCTTCTCTGGCCAGCAAAATCAAGTAAGGCTTCCCCTGCATGCTTACACCATGTCTGCCATTACCCTCACCTGCTGCCTATACTGTATTATCCAGTTCCTGTTTTTCCACACACGCCGCTAAGTTTCCTGAGGCTGACAACACCTTCATCTTTGAACCCCCCTAAAACCCAGCCCCAACACCTTTCACAAAGAAGAGCTCAGAAAACATTTACTGTATAAGTAGCAAATGACCTCACACCAATCTGACCTTCAGGGTATCTAGCTCGTGACCCAAGCTGGTAACATTCCCTTTAGGATTCAGTCCCTCCTTCCATAGGTTCATAAGGCTGAGGTCATTGGTCTTGTCAGCCAGAGAGGAGCCTGATGAATCAAGGCTTGGCCTGCTGCGCTTTCTGAGCAAATGGTGGCAACTGCGGATTTTAAAAGGCCATATCATGTCTTATTCTAGTGGTTCTCAAAGTGAGTTATCCAGACCAGTAGCATCAGCATCACCTGAGAACTTGTTAGAAATGCAGAATCTTGAGCCTCACCTCAGATCAACGGACTTAGAAACTCTGGGGTAGGATCTAGCAATCTGTAACAATTCCTCTAGGTAAGTGATGCATACTCAAGTTTGAAAAACACCTTTCAGCCCCCTCAAGCTCCAAAGAGTGGTTCTTTTCTCTGATTATCTTATATAGGTTTGTTCCTTCTGCAATTACCTATTTCTCCAAATAGATAACTGTCTCCAACTGTTTCAGGCAACCTTGTAGGAGTTCTTTTATTTTTAACCTTGCACTCGAATGGTCATCCTTCTTCGTCTTTCCTCATGCAAAGCTCCAATAAGATTATATTACATTACACAACGCCCTTGCTGCACTGTGTGATCTCAGCCTTTG